AAAGTCGTTTGACCACAGTGAAACGAGTGAGAGCTTACGAGAGCGGCCAAAGTGTGATTAAAACTCGCTATTTGCTCTTCTCCAACGCAAAAAGAGACGACATTGTGCTGGATAAATGTATTTTTTCCGACAAAAGTACAGAAAATTTGCATATGGTCTTTTTATATTATACTTTATGAAATGTTACCCGAGTGACTTCCGGGCGCCCCAATGCTGGAAAGAAACGCACATTTTAGAAAACTTCACTTTTTCATGGAAAAATGCTTATTTGTTCTATGCACGCAAGTTAGATTGAGCGGATGAGACAACGTTTCCATATGTTTTAGGACATGGACCTGTGACAAATAAACCCCTTTCAAAGGGAGGTTTCCTCCTGGAATATCGTGTAAATATGGAATATTTATTTTGATCTCTTACACATAACTTGGGATAGAAATCAAATAGGTCAGGAAAAAATATTAATTTCAAGTAATGCACAGTACAGCTATAAAATGTGGATGGAGTATTCTGCACATGTGCACACTTTCCACCTTTATACACTTTGCTTATAAAAGAAATGCTGACACACACGCATATTCTCTTTGTTATAATACATTGCAGTCCATGCTGTAAGATGCAGATTGAATGTCAATCACATCCATATTTCTTATAAAGGAATGTTTATGTTTGTTTTATTTCAGCAATGAATTTATTGTATCGTTTTTTTCTTCTCAAGTGCAATTTCCGATTGTGTGTAGAAAGTTTGTTCATGGTTTGACAATTCAACAGCAGTTATACAAATTACCATTCTTGCAGCTATAATTTTTATCAAGGTGATCCATATTAATTACAAACCTTTTTGCTTTGTATTATCTGACATTTATAGAAATTATTTGAATGTTTGCATAGTATACAATTGAATTATTATCATTTTATTCATTTATTTGTTTTTGCTTGTGATTGAATCAAACCTCATGATTTGCATGGAGTGCAATAAATCATATTTATATACATACATGTGTGTGTGTACACTTTTCTTCATTGAGGTAAGATGGATTCAATGGGATTTTAGTTTGTTTTGTTTAATAATGTTATAAACCCTGTATTTAATCTTAGTCCAGGGTAGTGTTGCAAGTTCAGGATACTTATTTCTACATTCCTCACATTCTTCTTTCCCTGGAATTCGGAATGTCCTGTAATTTCTTTTGAAAAATGTGTCTACAGCATGGTGTTGTGCTGCTGTCCAGGTAATGCGTTCCGTTGTAAATGAAAAGAGATTTTATAGGAGAGTGAAAAGAAAGCATGTGCATATTTGATAACCTAAGGACAACTTCATGTGATGCAAAAAGTCATCTAAATCAAGAAATTTTCACAATTCCTTCTAAAGTACATTGTCACATATCCAACATGTACATGCAATTAACCCTAATCCCATTGGGATATTTCGATCACTTCAGTCCATGGGGGGGGGGGGGTTATTGGGTCCCCCCTTCTGATCTCGGCCGTTGATCGCGCAATCGCGCCGAAATTCGGCATGCACATAGCTTGTGATGTTAACTCTTAGATTGCGTAGTTACATTATATTCTACTTGCATGCAGATTTTTGCAGTGATCGTGCAACCAGTAGCCAAGATCTGAAGATGGGAGGGGGGGAGGGGGGAGTTAAATCAACCTCTGGCAAAAGAAGACCCCCAAAACCCGGCTAAATTAGGGTTTAAATAGGACTACAAGCAAAGTTTGAACTACATGCTATTATTACCTTTTGACCTTTTTGCAACAGGATGGCTACTTTTTGGCTCCATAGACCCAGGAGGTCCATCCCTCTCATCTGAGAGCTCTGGAGAGAGAGAGAGAGAGAGCGAGAGAGAGAGAGAGAACAACACTATTTTCTGGATTAACTAGATGAATCCTCGACCGCACGCAGTCGGAATTTATGCCTCCGCCATCACGTGATCAGAATTATCTTTCCCATTTATATCACGCAATCAGAAATAAATATTTAACTGAATAAGATTAACACATGACTTCCTTTATACTGCATACTAATAATAGCAAGAACATGAATTGAACATTCATGTTTTCAATGACATATGTGACCGATGGCCTCATAAATCTAAAATCTAATCAGACCCTTGTCCTTCCCATATCCTCGCATGATAAAAGTTATTTGTCAAACAAATTATGAGCTATTGCGAGAAAAGGCCATTTCCGTGTATAAAATGACCTATGTGACCTTTGACCTCATGGCCTATGGATAATTGTACTTCCCTTCTGCATAAAGGACCAAGGTTTCAAGTTGATAAGCTAAACCATGGTCTGTTTTCCTGTATTCAATGACCCCTGTGACCTTTTACCTAATAGATCCATAAATCTTATCAGATCATTATCCCTCCTATATGAATACATGACCAATGTTTCAAGTTCATACGTTAAACGTATTATAAGTTTTAGCGAGAACAGACTATTTTCATGTATAAAATGACCGCTGTGACCTTTGACCTTATGACTCCAGAATTTGCTTGGATCAGTGTGCTTTTCATTTGCACACACGACCAAGGTTTCAAGCTGATATGTCAAACTGCTCTTAAGTTATCCCTAGAAAAAGCCATTTTTATGTATTTCATGACTTCTATGACCTTTGACCTTTGACCTCATGACCCTAAACATTTGCATGGATCATTGGGCTTCCCATCTGCATACATGACCAAGGTTTAAAGTTGATATGTGGAATCGTTCTTGAGTTATCACAAGACAAGTGCATTTTCATGTATTCAATGGCCTCTGTGACCTTTGACCTTTGACCTCATGACTCCAAAATCTAATCAGATCATTGTCCCTCCCATAAGCATACATGACAAAAGTTTCAAGTTGATACCTTTATTGGTTCTAAAGTTATCGCGAGAACGAAAACGGGACGGACGGACAACCCGAAAACATAATGCCTCCGGCACCACCTTCGGTGGGCGGAGGCATAAAAATATACCAAAGTAAAGATGATTATAATACCCCATCCTCCATGTGTGTACTGAATCTCCTGACCATTGCTCAATATGAGGAAGTAATTTGATCTGCAATATTTCTACTTGATTTATTGCCATGTGCTGTAACCATGGCATCATAGTTTCTGGCACATGAAAACAGGGCGTTTTACATTCACAAGACCTATATGTGTGTGAAATATTAAAAGCATCTCTAAAAAACAAGAAGTGCTTTGATCAGCAAAATTTGAAACAGATGGACCAACGGACCAAGTGGCCGACCTATACAACTTTTGTTTGGCGGTGGTGTTAAAATAAAAAAAAAATCACATAATATAAACTAGCAAAAGCAGAACGCACCTAGCAGTCTGGCTTGCATCATGCAATGCATTGCAGCATTCTTTGTGACATGGGAATATCAGATAATTTTTAAATATCCCTTTCAATATCCCTATAATTTTCATTGAATTTACATAAAAATGGCACACTATGTCTCGTTCTGCTATTCAGAGAGAAAGAAATTGTGTTTTTAATGCAGTATAGGGCTTGATTGAACAGCTTTGTGAGGACATTAATCTGTGAATGTAACATAACTTGTTTCCATAAATGTGTGAGGACAATTGCAGTGCAAAAAAGTTCTTGTTTGGACTAATATTACATGAGACATAAAACTAATATGCATGAATGTCTGAGGACATCACACGGAAATGTAACACGGAACTTGTTTCCATAAAGGCATAAAGACATCGGGCAACAAATTCTGGCACAGAAATATGTAACGACTTTGTATATAAATGTGGACATTCCATTGTCCAATTTATAACTTCTCTTTCATTCTTCTTTTCTGTCTCAATTGTATTATTTTCTTTTTTTGCACTCCTTTCAATAGCCAATTAGAAATCGTGTATCCTCTCCCAGAAACTAAGTGGACTATTTGTCCATGTACTTCATTGTAGTATTGCAAATTATGCACATTATCAAGTTTCTAATACATTTTCTCTGCTTTTAACTTCTTCAAAGTTGAAATAGGAGATTCGGGAACTGGTTACCTCTTGATCTCTTTGCAATTCTATGGCTCTTAGTTCGATCTCTCTTAACTGGGGGCTCTGAAAAAAAAAATTACGAGACAAAGTACAATCTAATAGGCAACTAAATCACTCCACACAACTAGGGGTAAATGTAGTTGATGAATTTAGAAAGAGAAAATATACAGAGAATGGCTTTAGATATATAATTAGCAGAATTTTTTAATCAACCAAAAAGTGCTTTGAAAAAATTGGACGATGAATTGTGTCTCCATGATCCCCTTTTGATTTTCAAAAACTTGGCAGCAAAAGAAGCATATTAAGACTCTTAACTAAAAACTCATATAACGGCATACCATGAAATATCTCAGTATAAACTGTATAATTGTTTATCCTTCTATTTCTTTGAATTATGTTAACAGAAAATTAAGGATTTACCTGCACACACACATATATAAAGTAAAAGTCATCAGAGATCATATGATCAAAATAGCAATGTTGCACTAAAGCATATCTTCACCTGTCCATCTATAACTCCCAACAAAGCAAGCTTTCCTCATAAGATGTCAGGCATTTTCTGACTTTTATCCAGGGCTAGAAACTACAATTTTGGTTAAGACCAAACTATTCAACACCTTTACAAGCACATGCATGTAACTTTATTATTCTAATAAAAATGGGACGTGAAAATTAACATGAAGATTTTGGTTGTTAGTATAGAAATAGATTCACATGCAATGACTAAAAAATGAAAACAAAATACTAATAGATGTATTTTTTAGGTAAATCCAAACTTCTTATAATTGGAACATTATGAGGTTACAGTTGTTTAAAAATTGATGCCAGATGCAATGAAAGAGGAAATACATGTATAGGATGGTATACAATTAGATACATGAAAGAAACTCATGTATTTATGACTTGTCACCTTCTTGAATATCCCCATCTGGGGTGTGCCCTTCTTCAGGGGTGTCCACTTCTTGACTATCTCCATCAGGGGTGTCCACTTCTTGACTATCTACATCAGGGGTGTCATCTTCTTGAATATCTCCATCAGGGTTGTTATCGTCTTCACAAACTTCTGCAGTGAAAAGAGAGGCGAGAGGCTTGGGTGCCTGGCCGGTTTGAACATAAACAGTTGACTTCAAAAAGGTCCATCTACTTGGAGGATAAAATCTGGGTTTCTAGATACCCCCATCTTTCTATTTCCTCATCGAATGGCCAGGACTTTATTATTTTTTGTTCTTACTACATAGGGCTTCATGACCATAATGCTAGGAACACGCAGGTTCCTAGAAAGAATACTTCCAGCATATTTAACCCTAATCCCATTGGGATATTTTGATCCCTTGAGTCAATGGGGGGAGGGGGGTGTAGCTTATTTGGCCCCCCCCCCCTTCTGATCTCGGCCGTTGATCGCGTGATCGCGCGGAAATTCGGCATGCACATAGCCTGTGATGTTAACTCCTAGATTGCATAGTTACATTTTTGAAAAATCCACTCATTATGCTAATTAAGCATTAATTATGCGTGAATTCTATTACGCAGAAATAATCACCTACTGAAGCTCAAAATGTGCTGATTTTTGGTCTAGATACTCCTACTAATGTTGCAGACAGATTATCATGAAAACATTTCTAACAAAATTATTATGTATTTTATTGTTTTTTGAATTTCTTATGTATTTCTTTGTTTTTTCAACTTTATTATTTCTATTGTGTTTTTTTTATAGAAATTGTCGGTGACATTATTAGGGTCATACTATAATAAAAAGTACATTTTTAATCCATTTCATCCAGTTAAATGAAAAATAGACCAGGATTTATGAATATTGACTGAAAACACAATTTGCATAAATCACGTTTTTGAATCATATTTGGCTTGACGAATTTTTTTCAAATGCGCGTAGCATCGGTACCGCATACCTGGTTGTCACAAATTTGGTCTCAAAAGTTGCGCGAGACTTGAAACAAAAAAGTCACAAACAATCATGGCGCGAGCTTTTCGCGTTTCAAACTTCTCACGAAAAATGTCGAGGGGGGGCCTAACCCCCCCCCCCCATAGGATTAGGGTTAATCCTAAAAAAAGACTGGGCTATTTTTGGTCTCTAAGAAAACTGGGGGGGGGGGAGCATAAAGTGCCCCAAGTCTGTTTACATGTGACACATGTGTTTTCACAAATAACTCTCTCTGAAAGGTAAGCAGATCTGAAACTAGATGAATACTCGACCGCGCACGGTCAAGATTTATGCCTACGCCATCACGTGATCAGAAAGATATTACCCCTTATACAACGCGATCAGAAATATTTGGGTGATTTTTATAAGTTTTTGGGGCCCTGTGACCATTGACCTTTGAAATCCTGAAACCAAAATTTAATCATCTTCCTATGCTTATACATACTTGAGCCAGGTAGAAAGCTGTTCAATTGTTCTGAAGTTATCGTGGTAACAAGCTATTTTGGATGATTTCCCGGCCAAATTCGCGAGTTTGTCATTCGAATTCATTTACTTTGCATTTAACTTAGCGCAGATCGGCTTTGCCATGCCAATTATCATTCAATTTTTCCGATTTTGTATTTAATTTAGGATTTTGGTCGAAGGATTTCATAGATCTGTCATTCAATTTAGAAACTGCTCAACTAGCATTCAAATTAATCGTCACTTGTCGAGGCGTCATTTTTATCATTCAAATTAACACCTGTCATTCGTATTCGAATTATGTTTATTCAAGTTAGGAATGTTAGGGGGAAGAAATGCAACACACGTTTACAGCTTTAAAAACATGCAATTAAATACATGATTTGCCATTGGGGTCTTTTCTGTTATTCAATTTATTAATTTTGAGGACAAAGCATATGTTTGTAGTCAGACATTAGGTAAAGAAGGGGCGAAATCAAGGGATATGGCATCTCTGAACGGACATGTTCATATACCCCGGACAAGTGGGGATACAAAAACACCTACCCCAGTCACAATATTGTACCCTTCCTCCATAATGAAATTGTGATAAATTTATGATGAAACACAAGACAAACAACTTCCTTACATGAAAATTTACACAAATATTGAGACCATCAAGTCCGTAGATGTAAGTCTTTTTTTTTCAACAATCAAACTTAAAGGCTGATGAATATCTGATAAATCTAAAAGTATATAAAGAGTATAAATGCAAGAAAATAAAATAGGATGAAATATACATGAAAAACGATCTTCAAACAAAAGAATGAGCTATAAAAAGTGTTTAATAAACGAGAAATGTATATTGACCATTAATTTTAGTGCACAAAGTGCTAATTTGAATGCTACAAATGAATTAGAATGCTTGAAGTACACCGTCGCGATGTCAGAAAATCGTGTTGCGCTAAATCGAATGACCAAATAGCGAAAGAAGCACTTTGTTCATTAATTGGAATGAAACATACATAGATTCTAACGAAAACTTCATAGATTTGAAATCTAGAAAAAGGAATATAAACCCAAGATATATCCGACAGCACTAAAACCGTCGAATTTGAACGCAAGACAAATGAATTTGAATGACAAACTCGCGAATTTGGCCGGGAAATCCTATATTTTAAAAGTTTTTCTTGGCCCTGTGACCTTTGACCAACTGAACCACAAATCTAATCAGTTCATCCTGACATGCAGACACATGCAAATTTATACATAAAATCAAACTTTTTGCTCTATTTCACTAAATAAAGCTCCTAGAAAGCTGATTTTTGTGTAAATATTCTTTATATGATTCCTTACAATTCTACTTGTAAACAAAATTGCAATGAGAATCAATTTCCTATGTTTTATACTGTTTTATGAATTTCTTTGTTTTTTCGACCTTTTGTTTTTTATTGTTTTTTAGATGGAATGTGTTGCAGAACATTTTGGAAGCATATTTATGCTAAAATAATTCATTTCAGCCAATAAAAGAGAAGGTATTCATATATTTATGATTTCTTACTGAAAACACATTTTACATAGACTTTGTACACAAAATCACGTTTTTGAGCCATTTTCGGTCTGACATGCATGCACTAAAGGTGAGCGGCGGCGTAACCATATGCCCGATTTTCGCGAAAATGGTCTTAAAAGTTGCACAAGACTTGATAGTAAAAAATCAGCGAGTCACGCGGTGAAAAAATTTCGCATGGCAGAGCGGTTGCGATGAAATTTGTCGAGGGGGGGGGCAGTTGGAAAAGGGTTAAGCCATGGAATAAGCTATGGAAAAATAGGTGTCATCTTAAACAGAAAGAAAAAAAAATCAATTATACGCGATGTTGAACAGGTAAGTTTTTAGATTCTGTTTAAATATTTCGGCAGAACTACTGTCTTTGATGGCTTGTGGGAGAGAATTCCATGTGGATGGCCCAGCATGCGTGAACATTCTTTCCCCCCACTTAGTTTTGACCTTAGGGATAATCAAGAGACCGGAATTTTGGGAATGTAAGGTTCTAGAAGGAATGTACTGGTGTATCAGAGAAGTGTTATACTGAGGAGCAGATCCATGTGTGCAATGATATATAAGGAGGAGAATCTTGAAGATAATGCGCTGTTCAACAGGTAACCAATGGAGTGATTTGAGGACAGGAGTGATATGATCGTGCTTACGGGAGAAGGATACTACCCGAGCGGCCGCATTCTGTAGTTTTTGGAATTTTGCAAGATGGTATGTTCTTTTCCTTTTCCAGACTGGGCTACAATACATGAGAGAAAAACATGAAACATTACATCATTGCCACCTTTTTTTGTTTACTCCTTTTCTTTCCATTTATTTTCTTGTATTTTTAAAACTTTTCTTTTCATTTTTTTCCCTTTTTATATTTCACCTTGTCCCCATTTTTGTTCCTTTCTTTTCTGTTCTGCCCAAATACGCCAGTGCAAATAAGGCATCTACAGGCATCATAAACATTGTAACAATTCGATAGTAACACTTGTTTGCATAAATCTGTTAGATTACACTGCAATGCAACAATGAACTTGTTTCCAGAAGTGTTTGAGAACATTACATGTACGCTGCAAATTTGACATAGAAATTGTTTACATATTCAAGAGAGGACGTGCATGTTTTAATACTAAGCAATTTCAACACACTAATTGAGGATCTCTATACTTACCGAAGATGGTATGTTCTTTTCCTTTTTCAGACTGGGCTACAATACATGAGAGAAAGACATGAAACATTTCATCATTGCCATCTTTTTTGTTTACCCCTTTTCTTTCCATTTATTTTCTTGCATTTTTAAAACTTTCCTTTTCTTTTCTTTTCCCTTTTTATATTTCACCTTGTCCCCATTTTTATTCCTTTTCTTTTCTGTTCTGGCCGAATACGGAAGTGCAAATAAGGCATCTACAGGTATGGTATTATACATGTATGTATCATAAACATAGTAACGACTCCATAGTAAAGATGATTATTACGCTCACCATTCCCATCATTTTTTTTTTGAGGGGGGGGGGCCAATTTGAGGATAAAAGGTATCAGAACCATGTTTGGCAAACATTTTTTTGTCCTTCTTTTATTTTCTTAGCTAACAAGGCACTTCAAATTACTTTTTAATTTGAAAACAATTAATAAATCATCATTAACAGAAAATTTTCCTGAAGGTTTTTGTTTTTTCTGAGTGTTTATTCTGAAATGTGGATCTGTCTTTCAATGTGAGGTCTAATTATATAGCAAAATTTAGTCATTTACAAAAATTGAGGTACACTTCTATCTTTTATCACATTATAATAATCTTGAATGTCAAAGGTCTAATAGCACTAGGTTACTTCATAAGCAAGCTTCCCATTAAGATTCACCTTTTACCAAGTGCATACATTAGAATATAAGCAAACAAGAACATGTTCCATTTACCTGCCGCCAAGGTAAATTCTTTACTCCATAGTCGTATGTTAGTTCCACACCTTCTTTAAGGTCCACCAAAGCAAACAAGCACAAATGTGGGGATTTATTATCAAATGCAACCTTTTTCATGATGCTATTTGGATGCACATGATCATCGTTGACCCACCTAGCGAGGCAAGAATTGCTATCTGATGCATCAATCCTGGAGAGAGTGAACAAACCAAGAATAAGATCTATAGTACACAGTACTGGAAGTTCTCAACTCACTTAGGCCAAGAAAAAAAAATTGTTTGGTCGCCCAAGAATGCCACTTTTGAAAAATAGTGTCGGTCGGTCGGACATTTTTTTTAATTTTTTTTTTTATTTATTTTTAGTTTTGACATCTTATATGAAAAATTGGACCAAAACCTCTGGCCTCTAACTTGCCAGGACCCTAGAAATCCCCCCAAATTAAATTATTCACCAGAAACAGATGGCTATTGCTGTCTGTTGGAAAATAATTACTGAGGGGCCAAGAAATTCCAGTAGACTATTTTTAATGACTCTTTGAAAAACACATTTCATATGTATTTTTGGCCATGTGTTTTGAACTCACCATCCCAAAATGTTGGTTTTTTTAACGCTTTTTCACATTTCATTGTCTATAAATGTTAATATCTTTCCTAAAAAATAGGGTAATAGTCTTGAATTTGGTAGCATTCTAAAGCTAATTATTAAACAGAACTATCACATCTGCAAATATAAACTCGTTCGCGCGTAAAATAACGACGCTACGTAAGATAGAATGACACATGGCGAAGTCGGTTGGGGGGGGGGGGGGGGGAGCGGTACACAGTATATCTATGGGAGCGACATGCGAAACAGTTTAACGTAAATAACTTTGGCAAACATGGGGCTATTTTGGTCTCATATTGAAGGTAATGATGCCTGCTACATTATGTATACACTTATTATTGATAAGTATTATTTTTCTTGAATTATGTGATAAAAATGTCACATTCCACCATACTAACACACACAAACTCTATGGAGTCAATGCATTTTAAGGGTTTTTCGCTTTAAACGTTCATAATTTCGGTATACAAGGGGCTAGACCTATGGTTTTGGTCTTGAATTAAAGGTAATTAAGTGTGCTTTTATTTGCTTGTGTTTATTATTTTTATTTTGTTAGTAATCACTTTTTTGTAAATTTAACCTCCAAATTGACAATTTTGTGTGCTGAGAATTTGCGTATATTTGCATATTAATATTCTATTATAGAATAGAGATACCCCATACAATTCGATATCATCTGAAAAGGAATTTCCTGAACAATTCAAATATGATGAGAAACTAACAGTCAGGGTAAAGGAATTGCAGATCTAGATATATTTTGAAATGTATTTTTGGAATCATCACACTTCAAATATTTTCAATCATAACATTTTACAACTCCACCCTATCCCATTTTCAATGGCATTTTTGAAATTCTCAGGGTATTTCCTTTCAGAAAATGTATACTTTTGCAGGGAAAGAGTTAATATTTTTAAAGTTATTGGCATTTTTATGCTGAAAGGTGCGTGACTGTCAGCTTTAATTTTGGGGGATGGTAACACAAAAGGAGGCGAGTTCAAAACGCATGGCCATTTATGAATTTCTATGTGAATGAAAAGTTTTAAAACAAATTAAAAAAATATAAATAATCAGGTCGGGCTAATTTCAAAGAATTGGTCGGTGGAGGGCAACCAAACAATAGATGACCTTTGACCTCAACATCTTTATCACTTCATGTCTGGTATTACCTGAGGATCATTTGTTCGAAGTGTGAACGAATTTATCAACAAGTAGAAAAACAAGAGCAAGTTGAACAAAACCAACAGACAGGAAAAGTGATTACTAGTAGGAGTGGGCTATCCAGGGGTGAAAAATTCTTTTTTGGTCATTTTGTTTTTGCAACTTTTTTTGTATTCCATTTAATACTCTATCTCAACATGGAATAACAATTTTTTTGGCTTGGGGTCCAACCAAAATCCAAAATGGCCGCCACTTTGCCCCCAGATCACACTTTCAGCTATAACTTTGTGATTTGTACGTCTTTTTGTTTGGATTTGGTGTCTTACCCTATGTTTGTAATCTGTAAGTGCATTAAAAAGTGGTAAAATCTATCAGGTACATGCCTAGTGCTAGCATCCGTTATGAACAATGGATTGGGCTAATTTGCATAAATAAGCATATTTATCGAAAATATATCCTCAATTTCTCTAGCATTGCTGAAGACAAAATTTGGCTTTCTACTGGATAAATGACAGGTTTCCGACAAGCTCACTGGTACAATCTTCCCCTAAAATGCCCGGGATATATTCAGTCCAATGTGGTCGTTGCCATATTTCATATCCAATACGAGCACGCATAGGTGGTCCACTCGGAAAGTTTCATCCCCATTGTCGTTCAAGAAGAACACTTTTTTCCTGATCAAGTTTCTGTAAACTTACGAGCATTGATATATAGGAAACACAAATCAAGTTTGCAGCAACACATGAGGACTTTATATTGCAAAGGTATTTCACACAGATCAAGATTGCGCAAAGTTATGAGGACATTGTATTGAATAGGTAACACAGCTCAAATTTCCATAAATGGTCATTTTCAAACATAAGTGGACATTTTGTTTAATTGTCAATTGGCCTTATTTCAAAACTTATGATATTTTGGGGCAATTTTCTTTCACGTACCATGTGAATACAATATGAATTTTCATTTTTCACAAAATTTGTGGATGTCCGCCTTCTCCTTATAGGAGAAATGAAAACTGCACAAAAAATTGTACATGTGGGACTGGGCTTCACAAAATGTTGGATGTCGCTTCTCTCACAGTATTTAGGGGAGAATCATTTATCACTGAGACGAGATGATTTATTACGACTATATATTTTAGAAAGGTACACTACTAGTACACAAGTACCAGCAGTCATGGAAGTGTCGGAGGTTTAGTTGGGCACGAATAAAATTATCACTGATAGCAGTCCAAAAACCATGTCCAAAATTTGTCGTGTCTCTCACGCCCCTTTTTGTACGGTAGTCGTAATTTTTCTAAGAAATACAGAATTCAACTCAAACTGGTAGTAGAATGAGACCATCCTACAATTTACCAAATATGATAGGTATGATCCACTATTCATTTCCAAGTGGAATGATACAGGCCCTTTTGTCTCTCAAAATGTCGCGTCTCACACGTTTGAAAATGACCAAATGTACGAGGACAACATACGTTGCAAATGTAACACAGTCTTTGTTTAAACTTAATTATGAGGACATATTAACACAGGTAAAGTTTCTGTAAAATTATGAGGACATTACATGTACACATATCAGGTTTGCAGCAACACACAAGGACTTATTGCACAGTTATTTCACACTTATCAAGTTTGCGCAAACTTATGAGGACATTGTATTGAATAGGTAACACAGCTCAAGTTTGCATAAATGAACGAGGACAACGTGTGTTGCAAATGAAACACCTGTAGTCCTTTTTTGTATAAACTTATGAGGACATATCAACACATAATTTATATAGGAAACACAAATCAAGTTTGCAGCAACATACGAGACTTTATCTGTTTATATTGCAAAGGTATTTCACACATTTGCACAAACTTATGAGGACATTGTATTCGATAGGTGACACAGCTCAAATTTGCATAAATGTACGAGGGCAACATGCATTGCAAATGAATTATATATGAAACAAATTTGAAAGGAGGACTTGATATTGCACATACGAGACTTTATCTGTTTATATTGCACCGGTATTTCACACAGATCAAGATTCTGCAAACAATGTAACACAGCTCAAGTTTGCATAAATGTACAAGGACAATATACGTTGCAAATAAAACACAGGTAAAGTTTCTGTAAACTTATGAGGACGTTACACAAATCAAGTTTGCACCAACACAGGTATTTCACACATACCAAGTTTGCGCAATTTTATGGGGACATTGTATTGAATATGTAACACAGCTCAAATTTGCATAAATGTACAAGGACAACATGCGTTGCAAATGAATTATACATTGACATTTAATTATATATGAAACAAATTTGATAGAAAGACTCGATATTGCACAGGTATTTCACACAGACCAAGTTTGCGCAAACTTATGAGGACATGGTATTTGTGTAAATGTATGAAGAAAATGCCATGCAAAAGTAGCACAGTCCAGGGGTTTATAAAACATGCAATTAAACTTACGATAAATATTAATCGCAAGTCTATGGCAAATTATGTACCATATCGAGATACGATTTATTGCAAAATTAATCGTATCTCTCTATGTTACAGGCTGCAGATTTGCAAAGTCCCCATGAGTTGCTGCAAACTTGATTTGTGTTTCTTGCAACGTATATTCACTTTTCTAAGAAGTTAAGCAGGAGCCGCGGAACGTTTTGAAAGAGGGGGGGGGGCTGCCACAATTGGGGCTGTGTATAATACCATTTTTACACACTCCCATAGGCTTGCACGTGTTAACTGAAAAAAGTGGGTAAAAAAAGTAGGTAACACAGCTCAAGTTTGCATAAATCTATGAGGACAACATACGTTGCAAATGAAACACAGTCTTTGTTTGTATAAAACTATGAGGACATATTAACACAGATAAAGTTTGCGCACATTTATGAGGACATTGTATTGTAAGACAGCTCAAGTTTGCATAAATGTACGAGGACAACATGCGCTGCAAAAGTAACACAGTCTAGGTTTGTATAAACGTATGAGAACATATTAACTTAGATCAAGTTTGCACAATCCTCCATTTCTCTAGCATTGCTGAAACCAAATTTGGCTTTCTACTTGATAAATAATAGGTTTCTGTCAAGGTCATGCACTGGTACGATCTTCCCCTAAAATGCCCTGGATATATTCAGTCCCATGTGGTCGCTACCATATTTCATATCCAGTACGAGCACGCGTATACATGTCAGTGTTGTAGTCAAGGCATGACCCCCTCAAGGCAAGGCCAAGGCCAAGGCCTGAAACCCCAAGACCAAGTTCAAGGCAAAGGCATTGAAAAAAACAGGCCTTAAGGCCAAGCATCAAGGCACCACAACACTGATACATGTAGGTCATGTCATCCTCATGGTCATTCATGTAGAACACTGTTGCAAGGACTATATGGAGGAAACAGTGGTAGAAGGAAAGACTGGAAATCTTGTAGGATGCCAGAGAAGCTGAGAATAGAATATTTCACTCTCCTGAAACTCAACAACCACTCGATTTTATTATGGATGAGAGAGGGGAACTAAAAGATGATATAATTGTTTTCTTCTTGAATGACAATGGGGATGAAACTTTCCAAGTAGACCACCTATGCGTGCTCGTACTGGATAAGAAATATGGCAGCGACCACATGGGACATTGTTATTATTATAACAATTATAAATATTCTAGTTTCAGCTTCTCTGGCATCCTACAATATCTCCAGTTTTTCCTCCTACCACTTTTTCCTCCATATAGTCCTTGCAACATTATTCTACATGAATGACCATGGGGATGAAGCTCTACAAGTGGACCACCTAATGTGGGCTGGTACTGGATATGAAATATGGCAGCAACAACATTGGACTGATGACATTCATGTTACTAGAGGAAGATTGTACTAGTTATGCCCGAAAATCTAGTTTGGGGGTAAATCGGTAGCCATTTTCTATTTTCAGAGCTACAAACCTAAAAGCGGAATCTTCACTTTTTTGGTCCTTTTACGTTTGATGGGGCGGTACCAAATTGAAAAGATGCCAGTGAATGATTCTAAATAGAATGTATTTCAATATTTCAATATTCACTGGCATTTCGTGCTTGTGACTCGGATATGCAAGGTGCTCTAAATTTTTGGCTGTAATTCACAAAGGCACACCGCTCAATCTTGAGAAATTCTTGCGTCTTGCTTTCTTAATGTTAATACCAGCTAATAATAAAGAGTTATGAGAAGACGGGTGGATGGATAATGGTATTGTTGTGTTCAGATAGTAATCAACATCTAAATATTTGATACCCCCTAATTAAATGCAAAAGACAAAAATTCCGCTTTTTGGTTGGCAGGTATGGAGTTTGGCCCGGCGTACATTTTTGTCAGACCCTAAGCCAAAATATTTTGTCATTTCATGCTGTTGCAAAAAGAAAATCAAGAATCATCCATTTATAGCCCACTCCTATTACTAGGTCTCTGCCAGAACATCGTTCAGGCGAGACAAAAACTGCATTAGCAGACACTTTCACGATTTTGCTGATATTTTTAAAACATAATATAATAATATTTCATAATATGCTTTATGTAGTCTTCGACTACATGTATAAAGCATGCAAATGTTAGTCAGCATAAACTGAAGAAACAGGATTTTACTCATTAAAATCACTCACCGATACTCGGTACTTTTATGCGAGAAGTGGAAAACGTAATCCGCATTCTCATCATCCTGATCATCAGCAATGGACAATATTCCACGATATTCCAGGAGAAAATCTCCCTTTAAAAAGGGTTTATTTGTCACAAGTCCATGTCCTAAAAGTGGAGAAGGAAAATATTTTGTTAAAGTTTAAAAAAAAAGTTTAAAAAAAAAACCTTATGGCAGAGTACCATGTAATCATGGTCATACAAAGCAAAGGTGTGTGTGTGTGTGGGGGGGGGGGGTTACCTCCAAAAAATGCTTAAAATTGACGTTTCTTTTTATTACTGAATGTCAGCACAATCGACCACAGGTGTGGACCAAATCTTTCAATATCACATTAACAAATGCAGAAACATGCTGCTAATTTAAGGATTTTTGACAATCTTAGTGATTATATTCATTTTGAAAATTCTGTGTTTAATGATCAATAAATGATCACAATGATCAGACTTTGTGTAGATCTTTTTTCTTCTCTCTTTCTGCTTGTACAATGCTGCTATCTGTGAACCATATTTTTCAGAGCCTTGAATCAAAAGGTATTTAACCAAAATACAAAAAGTCTTCCTAAAGGTTTAACTAGCCTTGATCTCATGACTTGCACATCAAAGGACTAGTTCAATACATCCACTACTAAACTGCATAATCTATGTGTACAGTACCTATGTCATCGTTGATAAAAAAAAAAATTTTAAATCCCTCCTGATCTTCTCCAAGGCCGCACCACCTCTCCGCTATATGGTAGGGTGAGATGCGGCGGTTACGTCTCTGACTCTGTCAAAAGAGGATCATGAAATGCTCTACATGAACATCTAGTTATACAGTGTATGTCAACTGTAAAGTAACATATCATATGTCACCCCCCCCCCCCCTTTTTTTTTGTTCCTCTTTAACTTAGAATTAATAAAGAACTCCAGGCCCAAATAACTGGATTCATAAAAAGGAAAAAAAAATATTCCCTACAAAATGGTACAAAAATCATGAAAAGATGGAAGTTATGATTCGGAAAACACTTCTTGACCAGTCAATATGAATATCAATTTGAGTGAATTGATGATGTCATCAGGTCACACAAATCATAAAGATGAAATCAAGAAAAAATAAAAATTTTGGCAAATGTAGTTGAACATATAACCCTGAAATATGTCATAGTAGACATAATTTCCCATTTTGAGAGATCTATAGAGAGAAAACAGATTTACTTTATTTTGCATGAAAATGAGATTTTTCTCATTTTCTGTAATCGAATCGTGTAGGAAATTGTGATGGTATAACATCATCTCTTCACTAAAATGAATATTCATACAGTGCCAGTCACAATTTTTCTTCTACCTGTTAATCCATGGAGGGACAGAGCATTTAGGAAATAAAAAAATAATCTTCAATCAATATTTAAATTGGCAACATGTATTTTTTCCCCTCTATTAAATGATAAAAAATAAATGAATTTAGATATAATAGCATCAAAAAGAGATTTTTTTGTGATAAAAAATTGGAACGAAAACGGCCAATGCTAACGCAGAAGTAGTGATTTATAAATTTTCTTTGCAAATTACCAATTTAAGGATCGCAGTGATTTGCTACATTCAAACTGCCCTAACTCAGGAACGCAAAATCACATTGCACTGGAAAGAGGCTCAAAATACTCAGTGTATTTTTCTCTAATTATGTTGCTAAACGCTCAGCTTTCTGGAATGTGGAGATACTGCCAAAAAGGTGACACTGCATGTACCTCTATGGGTTAAACCTGCAAAAGGCTTTATCACAACAGAATCACAGTAGGATCACTAAACCATATCTATTGAATTCAGCCCTTGCAGGTTAGGTATATAGAAGAAGAATTGTGACTTATTGTTTTCTAAAAATATGGGAAACTAAAAAAAAAATCATAAGTACCTTATTTCTTATCACATTTTCATTACTTTTTTACCCCGGAAGATTTTTCTGGAACCTTTTTATAAAATTCAGTTATTTTTTGGTCTGGAGTTCATTTTTAAAGAGTTCTTTCAAATGTCTGATTTATTCCAGCTGCCGGGGAGGGGAGGGGGGTGGTTAAATTTTATGTACTGGGGCTATTTTTCCCCTGTTCACTGCAAATTAAATTCTTAAAACTATGCCCATCCATGTGTAAAAAGCTGTCACAAAATATAGATTTGGTCTAAATATTTGCATTAAAGTAAAAACACTTGATACACATGCATTGATTTTCCAAATAATTGAGCTAACAAAAATACCTAATTTTTGAAAAGGGTTTCCCCATTTGATGGACTAATACAAAGCTTAAATTTGTTTGTAATTTAACAAAAAACATCCATGGAACAAGACAGACTGGGTTTTTCAAAGAAACCAGATGATGTCTCAAAATACTCAAAGCGGTGAAGATCCAGTGAGGATATTAACAGCTTGTTACCAATCTTCCATAAATTGCATGTATCATTTAAACCCCAAGTATAGTTTATTTATTTATTTATTTATTTGTTTTATTTTAGTAGGGTTGCCTAATCAGTGATCAAGGCACTGTTTTTCACTGGGGCCCTACAACAAAAAATACACATACATGAAAAATACAAAGGTAAAGTATACATACATAAAATAGTAACATTGGGCTGCAAAATTAAATTAAACTAATGATCAGCATTTTGGGAATTAACTTTAACAGAATACCAAAAATGTTTAACAAATTGTGAGATGGTTTGTGAATTCTTAACAAAATTGGGTAAACTGTTCCACATAACAGAACTAGAATGAACATAACTTGATCTTCCAATTTCAGTTTTTACCGGTAAGAGTTTAACAGAATTATTTCTTGAAGAACGTGTATTATGAGAATGAATATTAGATAACTTAGAGAACAAATTACATATATATTGTGGAGCTAGGTCATTAACAGCCTGAAAAACCATCTTACATTGGTGAAATTTCCATTGGTCGAAAATGGAGACCCACTTTAGTCTATTCAAAACTTGTGAGGTTGGGGTGCACGTTGGTACACCCAAAACCAAACGACACATTCTTTGATGTTGTTTTATAAGTATACTTTTTACATTTAAATGACAATTTGACCACGCGTTGGAACAATACTCAAATAATGGCAATATCAAAGCATATGCTAACAATTTCAAACCGACGAACGGTAAGTATTTTTTTTGATCTACCTAGTAAAGCTATCCTTTTGTACAGTTTTGGTTGCAAAGAAACTTGGTTATCAAATTTTGACTCAAAGGCCAGTTAAAATTTAAGATAGCATGATGAAAGATATTGCGTTGAAAAACCTTGTGGAACAATCTCCCATCCAAAGTCATAAATTGCTGCAATGTCAATTCCTTCAAGTCTGATCTTGAAAAAAGGCATGATCTACTAAATTTAAATATGCTACATGACCCAGATGAGGCTTTCTCTCATGTACAGCAGTGACACTCCTGCGCATGCACCATCAATCACTAGTGTGCTCAAAGAATAAATTAGAGTAACACATTTAAGAAGTTACAAAGGGGCAAATATTGTTTAACATGTACTTTATGCCCAACAAAGGCCAAAATCAATGAAGGACTTTAAAAAAAAAAAATTCCGGGGGGAGAGGGGGGGTGTACAGACGCTTAACAAAAATAAAGTGTGAATTTGTACTTTTCATCTCTCAAAATACCAACAACAAAAAATTAAGTTAAAAATGGAAGTAGACTTATCCCCACAAATATCTGCTACCCGACAAACAGACAAAAGATGTCAAACCCCATAGTATAATAGGACCCTTATGGTGTATGATAAAAATGAAGACCAAAGGAATGAGTTATTTGCAATGGGGATTTCAGTGATCTGTTAGCAGTTTAATGGTTCAAAATAAATACAATGAAATAGCATATGGAATCACTCACCATATTATTTTGGAATATCAGTACATGCAGGGAGAGAATCCCGATACCATATGCGTGGTGATGATAAGACATAGATGAACAATGATACAACAGCAACAAGAATACCAGAAGTTACAAGCAAAATATCACAAAAAATACAATCAATACCACAATCAACATGGAGAGGATGAACAGAATATACAACTGAACATCAACTCGAAGAGATGGAGAACACAGGGAGGTGTGAGATGGTGAAGACATATGAAACATAGAACAGGTATGAGAAGAGGGTGGGGAAGGAGGAGAATGAAGGGGAATATTAAATGATAAAGAATCTGATGTAGATGGAGATGATGCAGATAACGAAGAAGTAGAAAAAGAAGCCAAGGATTCTGAAGGAGAAGATGGTGGAGATGGAGGAAAAACAACAAGGGAAAGATTAAATGACAAGGAATCTGATGTAGATGGAGGTGATAGAGATAAAGATGAAGAAAAAGAGGATTCTGGAGTGGGTGGAGGTGCTGGAATATTTGACCAGGAGTCCAGATGGGAAGTCTATTGGGAGAAAAGCAGGTAGAAGCCACAATCAAAATGAAAAAGCCATAGATCTGATTGGATATACAGCCCTCAAAAAAGTTTGTGGAATGATTACTGATCTATGAATGGTAAAACTTGTATTATTGGAATGCTTCATTATTGTTCGTTACAATGGATTGGGCTAATTTGCATAAATAAGCATATTTATCGAAAATATATCCTCAATTTCTCTAGCATTGCTGAAGACAAAATTTGGCTTTCTACTGGATAAATGACAGGTTTCCGACAAGCTCACTGGTACAATCTTCCCCTAAAATGCCCTGGATATATTCAGTCCAATGTGGTCGTTGCCATATTTCATATCCAATACGAGCACGCATAGGTGGTCCACTCGGAAAGTTTCATCCCCATTGTCGTTCAAGAAGAACACTTTTTTCCTGATCAAGTTTCTGTAAACTTACGAGCATTGATATATAGGAAACGCAAATCAAGTTTGCAGCAACACATGAGGACTTTATATTGCAAAGGTATTTCACACAGATCAAGATTGCGCAAAGTTATAAGGACATTGTATTGAATAGGTAACACAGCTCAAATTTCCATAAATGGTCATTTTCAAACATAAGTGGACATTTTGTTTAATTGTCAATTGGCCTTATTTCAAAACTTATGATATTTTTGGGCAATTTTCTTTCACGTACCATGTGAATACAATATGAATTTTCATTTTTCACAACATTTTTGGATGTCCGCCTTCTCCTTATAGGAGAAATGAAAGCTGCACAAAAAATTGTACATGTGGGACTGGGCTTCACAAAATGTTAGAAAATTCTATATTTCTCCTCTCTTGCATTATTTCATCAATTAAATTTGCATACGGTAGGCTAGTAGCACATTGAAACAATACTAAATTTCTTACCTTTGCCATCGGCATCGTTCCAATAAGGGCCAAATCGTGAAATAAGCCACCGTTCTAGTCCCGCGCGCACGATCGGTCATCGACGACACGGTCGAGTCTCGCGCTTCTAATACAACGCGCCAGCTAGCTGCGCTGCATTTTTGCAAGCTCGCGCGCGCTAGCTCACAACGATCAATCCCGAGGATCTGTGTGTCCGCAGGGGGCGCTCTTAACATTTCAAGACACACACGACGATATACCAACGGGAGTGTTAAGTGTGTCGATTCTTTTCTTTTCGAACATCCGAGGACAGGCCTTATTTAAGGTCAGATGCACCCTCGGACGTAGAATATCCTTTTGCACGTCTATTACTCCCGAGGACAGCATGTTACGTCCTCGGAAGTAAATTTCGTCCTTGGACAAAAGGTGTGTTTTCTTGCAGTTGGTCTCGGACGATCGATAATGCGCACGCGTGTATGTGTTGTGCGCGTGTTGGATAGAGAGAAAGAGAGAGAGAACATACAAGGTTGCAAGGGTGTAAAAGCCTAAAAAAAACTAAACAGTTTACTAGAATGACAAAAATATCTTGTGTTATAACGGTGTTTTTACATGAACAAAACGTCCAGAACCTTTAAATAGAATGCATTAAAATATAAAGTTGAACGGTTACTTTTTGCAAAAAGAGAAAACCGTTTGTTATTAAATCTTGAATTGATTATTATGGAAATGACACACTTTACTTTGAAACTAGGATTTAGTAAAGGTCTGAAGGAACTTTAAAATAGTATTCTTTTCTTCTTAACAATGATATTCCTGATCGAGTTTTACTATGAATAAGCTCATTTTTCTATTTAAAAAAAGAGGAGAAAGGGAAAGAATATAAAGCCTTTATATTGTATAGGAGGGTAACGCATGTATATCATATCCAAAAGAAAATAATAAGATCAACTATATATACTTACTCGAAAGCACGAAGCAAGTTCGCATAAGTTGTCTTCTAACGAATCCACTTTTCATCTTTGACAATGCACAGCCTTATTATAATCAATCAATCAATCAAAAGATATTTGATATAGCGCTTTTTCCTTCCGTTTACAAAGCGCTGCAGATTCACACCGCTCCACAATGTTTGGGCCACTTATATAGTTATAAACAAAAGTTAGTCACTTCTCAGCGATCAGTTAAATACAATGTAGGCTGGTAATAAAGTATTTTCTAACAGAATAGATGTGACCAACAGATGAGGCCGTCTGCACGGCAGCAACAACAGATACCAGATATTTTGCTCGACTCTGTTTCAGAATTCGACAAACTAGAATGACGAATGACGAACAAGGAACATTTGACAGGGATAAACATATTCTGACTGAGAGAGAGACACACACACACAGACAGAGTGTGTGTGTGTACGTGTGCGTGTGTGTGTATGGGTGTGTGTGTGTGTGTGTGTGTGTGCATGTGTGTGTGTGCGTGTCGTGTGTCGCACGGTGGGAGGGTGATTTATTTTATGTTACAACTGATTTCATTTTTTGCTCATCAATCATACAATCTATGTATTGAAAATGTATTTAATTATGTCGTTATGAAAAACAACTGTATTTCTAAAAATAATTTGTATTGACTAGGAATGAATAAAAAAAAAAAATATTGAAATAATTGTATTTAAAAGAGCAACTGCCAATGCCAACACCAGCACAATTTCGAAATCGTTATAAATGTGATTTACAGGTCACGAATTCGTTACATTTATTATATTGATATGGAATAATAACCGTGAAACAAGATGCCCAAATCACATCTTCAGTCTGCCTTGCGTGTGGAGGTTCTCTTGTACGCACTTGGTAGTAAATCATAATTTTAGCACCACACTCATTATAACCAACCACTGCTCCTGTATGAAAAAAATAAACAGTGGTAATGTGAGCAATCACCAGTTTCAATTTTCTAACATATTTAATCTACTTGACATTATGACCACCAGCAACACAGCTATCATGCAGTCGCAATAATGATTCAGTTCTGTGGATTAAAATAATTGATGAAGTAAGTTTGACAGCGGGTAACAGTTGTTTTACTGGTTATAAATCAAAAGAAATAATGGCAATAACTAGCTCTTTTTTGCATACATGAAGTAAATACAATTTCCGTTTTTGCCGCTGCTCGGGACTCGGATACTTCCTAAAGCTTGTACTTCCAGTTTTAAACACATGCCTTTCATTAGTCAAACAGAATTTTCATTGAATAATTAAAAGCACATGATGGTTGTGTGTACGAACAAATGTATGACATATCACCTACCATCCCAGTATAGCTTCCTGATTGAGCTGCAAAAAAATCAAGTGACACCAAATAAAGTCCATCTCGTGGTGCTTTCGTCAAAGTTATCAGAGTCATATCTCGGGGCGCCTCAAGATACGTCTCGAGGTCTCGGGGGAAACAGAGACTGATATTTTCTTTAACCCTCGAATAACTTTTTAAAAGACCCAAAAGGAGAGAGGCAGGGTGGATAAAGATGTTACTCCATGTTATTTTGATAAGCAACTGTGGAATTATGTATGAAATAAATATAAGAAACAAGAAATGTAAGCGAAAACACATCTTGGACAATAATGCACATAACACAAATATCAATAGGGATGTTTTGAATTACGCTTTTTATGTAACAAAAAAAAAAAAAAAACGGGTGAATTAAAATGCATTTTTCTTAAAAGCGTTCAGAAACACATTGTTTTAAACGTACCGACCCTGCTCTTATTGATGTCCTGTTAACGCGCCCTAGACAGTGCGTATACAAAAGTACACTTTGAAAATATTATCCAATATTTTAATTTCATGATTTTTTTTCTCATGATATTCTCGGTGGGCGTCTCTTTAATCGGATGGCATTATTTTACGCTTGACTAGAGCTAATTTCGAAAAACGAACAAAAATTGTTTTGCGCTGATGTTTCGGCCTTGGATTGGATCTAAGTTCAAAACAGGCAGTTATTGCATGCGTTGAGCTAAGTATCAATAATTCATTTGAGCGATCATTTGATCTTAAACCCTATACCTAACTGTGCATAT